TGTATTGTTATTATTAATGTTAATGGTTACATTTCCTTATTGTTGCTCGTGTGTTTACCCGAGTCCTGTGTGTACCCGGTCGGATCCTCGTGTGCAGTTAGCTTATGTAAATCTCCCACCGTGTGTGCATCCCACAGTTCGGCACCTGACAACCTTGTATTTCCTACAGTAGTTTAAAAAAAAACCCTGATTTCACTGTCAATGTCCGAGACTTTGAATCTTCACAATCATTTTAGACGCATCAGGATATGTTCACGAAAAAACAATCAAACGTTAGCTAACCCAGCTACTCAAAATATTTCTCCTGTGATACTACATGGAGGTGCACCCACATGATCCTCCTGTCTCTGATGACTGGTAGGACCTACAATCTTGTCCATCTGGTTGCAATTACTGCAAAATTTAATTGTTTTTTTTCACTCTAACATTGACTCATGTTAGTTCTTTTCCAAGATTGATATTTAAGGCATTTCCAAAAATAGTAGTCATCAGTCATCATCTGTTATTGCGTTTGTTTGTATCTTGTTCTGTAGAGCAGCTCGCAAACGGAGGCCTGACCTCCACCCCGGTAGTCACAAAGCAGGCAGAGCAGGCCTCCTGTCACACTCTGCCAGGCAAGAAGGGAGTGGCATGGGTCAGACGAGGGGCTCAGGAAGGCTTAATGGTGCCAAGGCATCCTGTGCCACTAAGGGTGGTCTCTCATCATCCAACAATTCGTTACACAAATGATTTCGACACCAAGCCAGTCTGCTTGGTGTCTCAGGCACCATACAGAAGTGATTTGACCAGAAAGAGACCAATGCAGGTCCTCACTAATAGACCCTGACCACTTGCTACACGCTTCTCAGACAAATCCAAAGTCCCTTTTCTGCACACATTAACACACAAAGAATTATCGCCCACTCAGCAACCCAGGGCTACTTAAAGCCACTAAAGGAAAAATACTGAGTAAATGTCACAAATGATGGAGAAATTTTATTCCTGTGTACAATAGTTTTCATAATTTTTTGTAATTTTAAAGCATTTAGCTTGAAGCGTACAAAAATACACATTTTGGGCTGACGGTAGGCCGAACATCAGTGCTAGCTGCCCCTCTGATTGGTGAGTCCCCAGGCAGCTGTTCCCACCGGGAAGGGAGCAGCAGGAGGAGCAGCAGGAGGAGCAGCAGGAGGAGCAGTAGGAGGAGCAGCAAGTCAAAGAAGGAGAAGCTCAAAGACACAGCTTTTCATCATCCATGGGAGTCGTTTCCGGTTTCAGTTTAAAATTTGGTTTTCAGATGCTATTCCCAAAAGCCCCAGCGTTCACCCAGTGGTAAATATGTCCAACTCTGTCCTCATCTATGTTAAAATGTTTATTTTCCAAAATAAACTCTTCAGTGTTTCCTGGCACTTAATGCTTTCCCTATTATGGAAAGATCACACCCACACCAGAAAAAGGGGCACAAGATTTTCAGTGAGCATTTTCCATTTACCGGCTGTTATTCTTATGACTGGAAGGTTTCTCATACCTATACCTATTTTATTTTTCATAGAATGCCACCTAATGTGAATTACAATAGGTGCGGCAGTGCCAAGGGTGGCAGCAGTACAAAAGCAGAAGGCGAGGTCACAAGAAAAAAAATCTATTAAAAAGGGGACATTTAAAATATACCTTGCAGTCATGCTCACAAACATAGTTCTGTCAGTCTACTCCCAATCCCAATTAAAATGCAGAGGCACCTGACATAATGACATGGAGGGTCACGCACACAGCTCACAAAACAAGGCGTGTTGCATCAAACCAAAAAGCAGAGAGAGAGAGAGAGAGAGAGAGGCAGGAAGCAGATGATTCTAGGAAAGTATGACAGATAATCCCCACCCTGGACGACCCTTTCCAGTTAAGCTATTACTTATCCATCCATGCTTCCATTCATATCATCCAGTAGAACAGTGTTTCTCCACCTAGTACTCAGACACCCCAGGACAATCAACATTTGCCTCCCAGCTCCCAACACACCTTTACCAGGCATTCAAGTGTTTTTTTATTGGCTGAGAGCTGGGAGGGAGCTAAAATATGCACTGTCTGGGTGGCCCTTAGGACTCGGCTTAGAAACACTGCAACAGAGGGTCGCAGTGAGCCTGCAAGGACAGGGCATGATACAGGGCACAGACTGGCACACATACAATCACACACTTAGAGTCAACACCTCACCTAACTGAATAAAACTATTTCTAAAATGACTATAATAAGCAAAATATTTCAAAAATACCAATGATGACATGTACCCTCCTTTACTGAGGACGCAGTGAGTAGCTTAATCACACATGGACACTGTGTCTGAGTAGCTTTTTCCTGAGTCCAGGTTTTCAACTGCAGTATTGCAGCATTTATTAGTTACCATAATATTACAGTAATATACATTTTAACCACACATTACCTTATCAAAATGCAACTTAACATTGTGCAGAGTCTCATACGCCATTTATACCCATCAGATGAAATTAACCGTGTGTTACCATCACATTCTGTGGTGGTTCTTTCATTTTAACGTTAAAATGGAAAAGCCGTAAAAGACACGTGATTCTACAGTCCATAAATGCACACAAATGAATATCGAGAGGTGCAGGTGTTGCCCGTATAAAAACAGGACACCGATGATGTACCATAAGTCCTGTAAGAGCCATCAGGGGACGTCACACAGTAGGTCAACTGGCTGTCACAATCACCTACATGCAGAATGAGCGAGAGGGTTGTGTGGAGGCATGTCAGGAAAGATCCCCCGGCAGCAATGGTCCATGTGTCATAATGTTCCGAACCTGACGATTCAATAGCAGCCCATGAATTGATTGTAAAAATAAATGTTTTCACTCCCTGACCTGCTAGATAAATGGTTAGAGGGCGGATGTATGGGTGAATGTTTTCTAACTGGTTCACATCAGAATTAACTCAACATCTGCTTCCCCCCACCAATGTCTCAGATAATCCAGTGCCTGTCTGGACACGCTGCGGGACTGGGATGGCTCCCGGGGACCAGCACATGCACTGCAGAAGGTAACCATCTCATAGCCAAAAGGCTGGGCTTTCACAAGCACTTCTGACCTCAGATCAACATTTCTTTCTATAATGTGTTTTTCTTCTACGCTTGTACCTTTAAACAAGCAATGATCTGATATGACCTTCTCAGCTTTCTAAATTACATCTATGATTTGATAAAAGAAATAAATGATAAATAAGCAGCTTTTTTTAAAAAATTAAAAACGTCGAGGCTCATTGGGAAGAATGGCCTCCTCTCGTTTGAAAATGGACACAGTGTTTGGGGTTGATAAACAGCCTTTGGCATTGTCCAGCCAGCTGCTTGCATCTGCTTTGCATTCCAGTGCCTGGACACGTCGGTCTCCGAGCCAGAAACGACACAGTAACGTTAAGCAGCACCAGGAGGCTGCGGAGAGAGGTGCAGGGCGGGCAACCTCGACACTACATGGGGTCCTCCATGAGCAGGGGCTTGCTGTCAGAGCCACAGTCCTGGAGCCGGCCGTACTCGAAGTCGCTGGAGCCTTCCTGGAGGCTGCGCTCGTGAGCGTTGTCGAAGCTGTTCTTGCCGTGGATCTGCTTGAGGTGCTTGCGCAAGACCGGCTTGTGGGCGAACACCATGTCACAGTAGTTGCAGCGGTGGGGCTTGTCACCGCTGTGCAGGTTGAGGTGGTCCAGCAGTGAGCACTTTTGGGTGAAGGTCTTGCCGCAGATCTTGCACTGGAAGGGCTTGATGCCGGCGTGGACGCGCATATGCCGGTGCAAGTTGCCCTTCTGGGTGAAAGTCTTGCCGCAGAGCAGGCACATGAAGAGCTTGTGCATCTTCAGGTGGTTGGCGTAGTTCTCCAGCTGACGGAAGACGCGGGCACATTTGGGGCACTGGTGGTACCACTGCAGGCCCTTGTCTACACTGCGCAGGTGCCCTCCCAGGGAGCCCTTCCCCGCCGGACCCCCAGTGGGGCTCAGGGTGTAGCCCTGCAGGGGTGGCGCTGCCACCTCGGCCGCCCGTGTGTCAACGGTGGAGTTGATGAGCGAGTGTTGTGGTTCGGGCGTGTGCAGCGGAGGGGCGGAGCCAGAGGCGGGGAAGCGACCCTGTAGGCTGCTGGGCATGTCCGTCACACGGTCGCACACAGACTCCACCTTCACGATGGTGATGGGGCTCTCTTCGCCCTCGCTCCGATCACGGGTCTGCCTCGAGGGCGGCGAACATGGCTGGATTATCACATCCTCATCATCATCATTGTCGTCGTCATCATCATCATCATCATCATCCACCTCCTCCTCCTCTTCCTCCTTCTTCTCTGCCTCGGCCACCGCCAGGCCCCGCCGGCCGTCCTGTGTAACGACGCGCTCCTCCGGAGCCTCGCGGGGTTTGATGAATTTGTTTAGGGCCTCAGTGCAGCGCTCCACGACATGACCCATCTGCAGGAAGCTGGCCACCGTCAGGTAGTTCACCAGCTCCAGCTCGGGGAACTCCAGCGTGCCGGTGTAGCAGGACAGCAGCAGGCGGCGGCCCACCTCCGCCTTCTGCAGCATGGAGATCTGCACCTCCCGTGAGTCCTGCAGGAAGAACTGATCGCGGAGGAAGGGCGAGCCGGCAGCGAACACCACCTTGTGGCCCGGCACCTCCAGCTCGTTGATGCGGACCGTCACGTCACAGAACCGGCTCTGGCGGCGTAGCGCGTTCATTTTCTGCAGCATGGAATCCCCGAAGGTGGAGAAGCAAAACTGCAGGATAACCGGGCTCTGGGCCATGGTTCACTGGGCCTGCGGGACCAGACAAGGCAGCACGTGTGTGAAATTCGTCAGAAAATTCATCATTTTCCTTTGCCGGAAAATGCAGTCTATCCAGATTGCAGTCATGAACGCAAATCTCATTTTATACTTCTTTAGGCATTTACAAAGAGGCAACAAAGCATGTGTTTTAAGACAATATACTCATGCACTCCCATATTAGGTCATTCCATTCAATTATGATAGTTAACTGACGTACACAAAAGTTGAAATGAACACAAAAGCTTATTTGGACATACTCAACAACCTACGGATTAGTAAGACTAATGCATATAATGGTGTATTACTTTCACTCGCCTCGTGGAGGAACCCAGAAACCTGCGCTTTAAATGCACATTTGTCTAACTGTTGCTTTGCAATGAACTGGACTTCAGTGCGGCTGGCTGCGGTTTAACAGCGACAGTGTTTGTCTGACAAATCGTGTAATCCCCCAGGCTTCCCCACCCGGCGCTGAACCGGCGGCGGGGCAGGCAGACGCGCATTGAACGCGCCGCATTATCATACTAGTTTAGATCGACTTAAATAAGCGCGTTGCCGCCTGTATAAAGGTAACCGAAGGTAGACTGGAGGCATGATAATGATGATGATGATGATAATAATCTACACGGCTGCCGCTCATGTATCGGCGGCGTGACTCCGTGATCCCGGTACTTCTGGCTGTACAATAATGTTCACGTCAAAGCGGCTCGCTGGCCAGCAGCATCGGGCCACGCTTACAGTCAAAACCCGCACGATCCTGGTGGCAAACGTGCTCTCGCATGAACGGAACAGCTTCCGAGAGGGATGCCTTTTTTATTTTTAGCTCTCCTGGGAAAGCTCCAGAGACACGGGTCTGGGTTACCTACGGATCCAGATTGTGAGTCCCGAAAATGGCAGATCTCCGGAAGAATACCAAAGAGGAGGAGCCAGAGACGGGAACGATCTAGATATAGGGGTGTTTAAAGGCGTACATCTCAATTCGTGCACCGATTATTTTTATTTGTAAAGAATGTATTATTTAATGTATGATTGATGTATTATTTAAGGTTTAATCTCCAAAAAACATACGTGAATACACATTCTCTTTTGCCTCACACTATTTTATATTTTATAAACTTTCAGATAAATTCGTCAGATTCCACGACAGCAAAGGGGTTAATTTGTGTTCCAAACCATACGGCAGGAGCCCACTGTATTTTCTCTTTCAGATGATATCTGGTGATGCGTCTTCCGTGGCAGTGTTATCCAGAGATGAGACAGATAAACTAAGAAAAATAAATAACATGGCATTTTTTGTAGGAGTTCAGATGTGCGTACGTGCGTACAGTTGCTATGAAAAGTCTAAGCTTTTCTGAAGACATAGATTGTTTAAAAAGTCAATGGGTATCAGCTGAGTATCGCATTGAAATCATTGATGAAAATATATAACTTAGTATTTCTGAGTAACAAGATATATTTCTAATGCAGCTATATGATAATTATTCAACTCCCATTCAGTACTGCTGTTTGTAATCGCATAATAGTTTGCACGGTTATGAAACTTTGTTTAAACAATTAAGTGTTTGGCAACGCCATACTGACACGTAATCTACTACAACTGTAATGAATATATAAATCCCGCCCAACCATGTGTTTAAGCTGAGCTGTCATGAAACTTAGGGAAGACAAAAAACGGCATTACATCAATAAAGAGTATGGCGACAGAGATTTACAAGACGCTTAAAGTTCCGAAACGCGTAATTGGCAGCATCATACAGTCATGGGGGAGAAGACAATAGGCCACACCCAGAGCCGGATCTAGGCACAGCAATTGTGGGAGTTCCACTAGGGAGGCCGTATGTATGTATGCGTGTGTGTGTGTGTGCACATATATATATATATATATATATAAAATTACACCTAAATGTGTTTTTTTTAGCATTTAAACACAAAATGAACCGGATAAAACAAGAAGAGCATATACTGTACTAAACACATCTAAGCGCATTTATCAAAACAGTAATTCGTAAAGCAAGAAAATAAATTTATCCAAACAATGTGTAAAGTTAAAAAAAAAATGTGTCCTGCCCCAGTCTTCCGCTCCTTCCGTGTGCCACGCCCCCTCGTTAACCCGTGTGGAATCCCCGTGTGATCAGCTGTTTCTGTATTTAGTATGCGTTTCAGTTTGTTTTCCCAGTCCGGTCATTGTATTGTCCGTCTGCGTTTTGCCTGCCTTACCTGTAATTAACCCAGTATTCCCCGATATCCTGACGTCTGCGCCTTTGTCTCTGTTCTGTCCCAGCTTAGCACATAGGATAATTAAATGTATTAATGGTTTATTATTAATATTAAAATAAGAAATCTTTATTTTTAAATGTATTTTATTATATAATAATAATTACTGTTACTGTCTATCATTTTCTAAATGTATTTTTACTGTCGAATATATGTATTCAGCTAGTGTAAACATGCTCGGTGCTATCACAGCGAATGCAAGGCTGAGACTGAAGCGTCACCCTTTGTTTCCGTTGAGAGACGTGCTGCGTGACTCATTTCCCTGCGCAAGTTATCTTAGGTCGGTGTACACGGTTTGACTTCTGAGATTCAGATGGGGTTCTAGGTCTTTTTTTTTTTCAAACTGGTTGGTTCGGCGTTTAAGAAATTCGAGCTTTAATGAGTTTGAAAACTGAGGTACCACTGTATATATTTGTCATTTCAACACCTCTCCTAAAGTCACAGAGGTTTTTGGAGAACAGAGGAAAGTCTTGTTCGTTCTGTTGTTATTCTTTTGTTATTCTTCATTAAATTGTAACATTGTATTTATTGTTTTGAGCACATATACTCGTACTACACAGATAAATAGCTTTAAACATCTCCTTGGACTGACTAAATAACACTTTTGCACAGTATTGCAAATAGTTTGGTATTATTTATATAATAGTATATTCCAGTGCTATGCATAGTTTCTAAATATGAATAATTACACAAAAATTTTAATTGCAGGAGAAACCGGGTACATCTCATAATTCAGTAATGTGTAGCACCACCTTTCGCAAGTATAACTTGAAGTAAACATTTCCTGTAGGAGTTTATCAGCCTCTCACATCATTTTGCAAAAATCTTGGCCCATTTTTTTTTTTTTTACATGTAACTCTTTGTACAGCAGAAAACCTCCTTTGGTGGAATAGAAGGTGTAAAATTGCACATACAGTAGCGCAATAAAACTTTTAAGAAGGAAAAAGGAAATTTCCTCTGTTAATGCTGAAGACCTGAAGGATGACCTGATAAAGTCTGGAACAAATGTATCAGTGCAAACTCTAAGAATATTAAACAAGTAAGGCCTTCATGGCCAGACATCTGGCCACACTCTATTCTTACCCAAGAAGCACGTTAAAAAGTAGCCTCACGTCTGTCGTAATGAAGTGTTTATTTATGTGGCTGGTCATGGGACATATTAAAGTAAACTTCCCTACCTTCTTCAATCCAGACCAATTTGCATACCACTCCAACCAGTCTACAGTGCACCAACCAAGGCCATACACACCACACTGACACATTTGGACAACACTGTTCCTCGATTTCAGTTCAGCATTCAGTACAGTAATAAACAACTTGAAAGTTGTCCCAGCTCGGACTGAAAATATCATTATGTGGTTGGATCACAGATTGTCGAGGTAGGGGACTTAATCTCTGCTCAAATCAGTCTGAGCAAGGAACTCCCCAAGACTACCACGTCAGCCCCCTACTGTTCACACTCCCGACATCTGACTCAACGCATCATAAAGTATGCAGATGACACCATCATAATTGGCTTCAAAAGTGATAGAAACAGGTCTGCAGGAGGTGAGAGAGCTGGTAGAGTGGTGCAAGACCCACAGCCTGCTGCTCAGTGTTGACAAAACGAAGAAGCCAGGCGGAGCATAACCTTCTATGCATCAGTGGCTTGGCTGTTAGCAGTGCTGAAGCGTTACATTTCTGCATGAGCACCTCACTGAGGGTTCCTTCTGGTAGCAGCATGTATCTTCCCAGCAAAACCACTGTAGCTCCTGAGCCAGACGAGTCTGAGACCACCCATCCTGTCCATCTTCTTTTGAGGCACCATTGAGAGTGTCCTCACAAACCACATCATGGCCTGCTTTGGGTTCTGCAACAGCTCAGATCACCTGTACCTCCACCAGGTTATTAAAACAACAGAGAAGATTGCTAGGACTGTAAGACCGTGTAACTGGCATCATGGATTCACTGAAATACCAAACAATTCTGGAGAAGAATGTGATACCTTCAGTGCATAAAGTGAAACTTTGTGTTAACTGGACTTAGATAATGATTCCAAGCTTGTTCAGGGATTGGTCCTGTAATTTCCTGTCTTCAGGATTTAAATCCCATTGAAACACAGAAACCAAAGGATATCAGTGAGTGGGAAGCATTTGCACGTGTGAAATGGGTTAGGGTTAGGGTTAGGGTTAGGGTTAGTGTTAGATTCCAACAGAGAGGTGTCAGAAACTTGTGAACACATACACAAAATACTGGGGACTGAATCATTTTACGTTGGATGTTTGTGAACAGAATTTGAATTGTATAAGTAAACTCAACTATGTTCTCAGAATTACTCAAATATGTATTCTTTGACTGTTTACTAAGGCCTCAGTTGATATATTTTCATCAAATTTTATTCACATCACCAGACTTTCTTGCAGCTAAAGGGGGTTAATAATTTTAATTGCAGCTCTATATAAGCACAGTTTACTTCAAGTTTTCTTCAACATGTAAACTGGATTGATCTGATAATCCTTTTTAATGGTGTTTGTTTCTGAAAAGGGGTAAAAGTAGCAGTGGCAAGTTATTCCATGTCTCAGTTTGTAATCATGTGTCTGATTATAAGCATACTTGGTTTTTGTGCGTGAGAAGTCAATGCAGTGTTGAAGTGCATGCTTCAAAGACAATGTGAACAACATAATTACAGAAGAATAACAAGACTTAATGAAAATCTATGCACTTACCATGCATGTTTTCGAAGAGAGTGATGATGGACAACATCAATGTTAATTTAGAATGTTGTGGAATTGCTATTTTTTTTGCTTCTAAATAATCAACTCTTGGAAATTCAGTGTACATAAAGCACCCCCAGTTTAATTACCTTCCACCAGTCTGCGTTGGTGAGTGGAATCCTGTGATTCATAGCGCCAAGTCCTAATAGATGCTTGCTCTTATCAAATGATGATATTCAGTTCCATCCATCTTCTGTAAAATATTGTCCTCTTCAGGGTTGTGGGGTATCTGGAGCCTATGGACAAAAAGGCAGGGATGAGGCACCAACCAATCACAAGCCACTCACAGACCAACCACACACACATATGGGCAATTTGGTAACTCCAATTGACCGCAGCATGTTTTGGAGTACCTGGAGGAAACCCCATGACGAAACAGAGAGAACATGCAAACTCCACATACATGGAGCCATGGCAGAGACTCGAACCCTGATCCAAGAGGTTTGAGGCAACAGTGCTAACCACAATATAAGATGTTTAAATAAACATAATATGAACTTTGACATTGAATTTTTGAGTTTTTATTATTATTATTATTAAAGGGATATTGACTTCAGCATGAGGGAAAATACACCACCAATGTAGATTGACTTCGGCTAGTGTGATTTTAACACTGTCTTTCTGCATGGAGTAGAAATCATTTGCTAGTTGTTAGAAGACCACCAGGGGGAGATCCTTTCCAGAGCAATGAAGCTGGGAGGTGTGAAAGCTAACGCCTCACGCTATGTGTGATGTATCAGACCATGTGCTGTTGGCTCCATCAAGCAATTTCATAGAGATGGTGGAAAAATGATACTCTGTTCCTCCTGCAGGTTTGATTCCCTCTTCTTCTGTCCAACAGTAGATGTCCCTGAAGAGCAATGAAAGC